CTCGGTTTTTAAAGTTGCTGAACATCAATGTGAACTAGAGAATGCAATTCCTGAAGAAATTGCTAGTGGGAATGCTTTATGCTGAAAAGCTGACGCTAAACTGCTATGCTGAAATGTAATGTGTAAGAAGAAAGTGAAGAATTTAGATTGAAATGATACATGAACACTGGGGGCTTGAATGTGTGATGAGAGAAGAAAAGAAAGTAAAAAGGCTTGGAAAAGCAGCAGAATATTTGAACTGCAAACTTTTGAACTAACTTGATGGTGAATGATCTGTTGCCATGCCAACGGCATTTGATGACATCCCATAATACACTTAGATGTGTGGATGGCTGCATCGTTACCAAACCTGTGAAGTTTTGGGCCGTTTGGAGCATTTTCACTGAAGTTATGAGAAAACCGTGTTTCATGGCGAGCCTTGTGTTATCATGGCAACGGCATTTGAAGAAACCCCATAATTGACGTAGAGCTGTTGAGGGCTGTACCGGTGATATACAAGCGAAGTTTGGAGGACGATCGGACCATGTCTATTGGACTTACAGCGACATCGTGCTTCATGGCGAGTGGTCTGTCGCCATGGCAACGGCATTTGATGACACCCCATAATACGGTTAGATGCGTTGATGGCTGCATCGTTACCAAACCTGTGAAGTTTTGGGCCGTTTGGAACATTGAGAGAGAGAGAGAGAGAGAGAGAGAGAGAGAGAGAGAGAGAGAGAGTAGAGAGAGAAGAGAGAGAGAGAGAGAGAGAGAGAGAGAGAGAGCTAGAGAGCGATAGCGTGAGAGAGAGATCGCAGAGCTCTCGCGCATCGAGCTAGCGAGAGAGAGAAATGAACAGAACAATGAACAGAACAGTTAGAACTGACTGCTGTCAGTTGGAGTGATGACATCATCGTGTTCCATTACACAGGTGTTAACGAGCTCTGAAGAGATCAAAGGTTTGCATTGTTCTGAATGACAGATAAACCTCTTACATGTGAACGTTTTGTGGAAGAACGATAACAGATATCTGTGAAATTTCAAAACGTGAAGCATGTCAAGGAAGTTGAGTATCTGAAGTGTAATTTTTGTGTACTCTCGGGTTAATAATGTGGCCTTTTTGGCAGTTTAACTAAAGGTGTGCGGCTGCTGCTGTGAGGAAATATCAGCCTGAAATTACAATGGGTTTTAATGGAGACATGTTGAACGTTTTTGTCACTTCATGCCCTCAATAGGCATTTTGTTGAATTATTTTGCTTAATTATTTGTCATTTTTCAAGCTACGAGATGTTTTCCTACGTTTGTCATGAAAAATTATGTCTCAGGAATGTAGGGTTTGGGAATTATGGCAGTTTTAAAACAATATATGAAGGCAAATTTCAAGATTTGCTCCACTCTAGCTGTGACATCACGCACTCTAGTTAATGTTAAAATCTGAAGAAAACCTCTTTAACAAGGTCTGAACAATGTTTAATATCTCTAAAAGTAAGAATCAGATTTAAAAGTTGTGTTATAATAATGCCAGAAAGATGTGTAACATTTTAAAGTTGGAATGTGAAAGTATGAATGAACAGTTAGCAGTTGAAGTCGCATGAAGATCTGTTGAAGTTTGAAGAATGTGTCCATTGACTTCCATGTTAAAAATTGGATGAATTATGGGATGTATCTCTGGAATTATGAAAGTTATGAATGAGAAAAGTAATAGCCTGCGATATATAAAATAAGAATTTTGTCCGTAGCATAACATTTAGTGGGAATGCTGTATCAGCATTCCCACTAAATGGCACATCACATATTTGAAATGCAGAGCTGTAGTTTTATCAGTGTAACTCTAATTGTAGTGCTGCACAACCCTGTCTCCTAAAAATTACGTTCCCACAGAACTAAACTGCATTCTCAATTACGTTTAGCTAGAAACGTATTTTCTCCCACGTTACGTTTGTTATGAACGTATCTCAAATACGTTTATTTTCTACATATCTTTTAGTACATACTTTCATAGGGGGAAAGTAGAAGGTCAATGATAGAAATATAGAATATAAAAAATCAAGAAGATACTGTAAGTGATCTCTACAATAAAACAGTTTAGTGCTGGATGTATAAAGATATTAATATGAAGATGTGCAAAACAGACAAACTAATGAACCTTTATTAACACATTAAAGAATACTTTAGGTTAAGGTCTTCTTTTAAATAAGAAAACGGCTTTGGGGGTATCTACAGATAAATATTAAGCCTGACAAAGTACTTAACGTCTAATATATTGCTTTCCTGCAATGTTAACTATGTTGAAGCACTTATTTTAACTGATATTATACACATTAATTATACTCTTATAAGATGTATGTAGATAGTATAAGAAATGTGCAGAATATCTTTAATGGTGGAGGTACACAGATATCGATAGATGTCTTGTAATGCACTGTTGAGGAACCTGTGACCCAAGTTTTTCATTCATTGCATAACTACACCGTAGTTGTGTATATGATATGTCAATAAACCTTAGAAAATTATGAAATCTTGAAAGGGATGTGCAAAATAGCCATTATATACAGTTTTTAATTAACTATTAGTAGAGAATAACGAGTAATGAATATGCTTTATAGGGATCTGCAGAAATGTTTAGTCTTCTCAAGCACCCACTACCAAATATCTCGCCTGATTGTTTGCACTTGACAATCACCTTCACTGAATTTTACTCAGGTGTAACTAAAGTCTGATTTAAGGGTTGTTTATATTTCACATCATTAATCAGAATCTGCAAAGTAACTCAAATAAATGTAGTGGAGTAAAAATACCAGGTTAACCTTAAAGAAAGCCCTCAGGATTATAAAAGACCCCATCACCCCAGCCACAAACTGTTCTGTCTGCTGCCGTCTGGCAGGCGGTACCGCAGCATCCGGACTAAAACCACCAGACTCAGGGACAGTTTCATCCCACAGGCCATAAGACTATTAAACACCTGAACTTAGAAACAACATCCATAACATTCATCTGGCTGCCTACTTAGAAATTATTTATCTAATATATCATATTCCAATCACTTGTATATAGACTCTTATTGCACTATTTCACTTTTTACTATTTTACTATTTTTCTTTTTGTATTTACTTGCACTATTTTTTCTGTGTATCTGTTTTATTGTGTTGCACTGTTGGAGGAGCCTGTGACCTAAGGGGGGGGGGGGGGGGGGGGGGGGGGTAGGACACGTTCGATTCCTGTTTTGAATAGTTTGCCGTCGATGGGATTCATTCCATTTCAAACTGCTGTTTGACGCTCGGTGTAAACTTTGCGCACTGCCACTCCAACATCCAATCACAGAGCTTGAAGACTAATCACGGGGTTTGTCAAGCAAAGCACATGGTGTAGTCCCAAACGATAGCTGAGGATTCTGGGTAGTGTAGTGTCTTCGGCCATCCTAAACTCCGAAAAAATATTTGTTTCTCCGAATCGAAGGGGAAAAATACAAAAGTATTGTACACAATTTAAACCAATCAATGTTGTGTAATTAACAAGGATAATCTGGTGTTTTTGAGTTGATGAGTAGTGCAGATATCACTGTAAAATCAATCGACAGTAAAGAGAATACTTACTTCCGGGTGTAGAATCCTCCGTTATCCAATGGGAATGGACGCTCACATTGCCTTTGAGACTGTGTTGAAATTACACCCTCGCCTACTGATTTTAATTTAACCATATATCGAGCCCGATCGTCGATTTCAAATGTGTGCTCTAAAATGATATTTATAAATGACTATTATCTTTATTATAAGCAAGACAATAAATGGCAAAGATATGTAGAAAATAAACGTATTTAAGATAAGTTCATAACAAACGTAACGTGGGAGAAAATATGTTTCTAGAAGATATGTAGAAAATAAATGTATTTGAGATACGTTCATAACAAACGTAATGTGGGAGAAAATATGTTTCTAGAAGATATGTAGAAAATAAACGTATTTGAGATACGTTCATAACAAACGTAACGTGGGAGAAAATATGTTTCTAGAAGATATGTAGAAAATAAACGTATTTGAGATACGTTCATAACAAACGTAACATGGGAGAAAATAAGTTTCTTGCTAAACGTAATTGAGAATGCAGTTTAGTTCTGTGGGAACGTAATTTTTAGGAGACAGGGTTGTTCTGCAGGCACTATGTCAGACTTTTTCATTGATGTTGAGAAACATCACATAAAACATGACCGCTTGTGTTTGACAGTTGTGTTTGATGTGTTGATAATACAAATACACACATTTGAAGTGTATTTAAGTTTCATTTCATATGGCATTTCTCACATTTCATATTCACAGTGTGATCAATGCATGCTACTACTCACCCATCTGTAATCGAAAGCAGTGGTTTAAGTGGGCTTGATTTGAAAGTGGCCGAGTCATGCTGTGTGACAGAGCTATGTGTATGTGGTAATGAACTGAGTCATTACCCAGCCGCACACTTATGTGTAATTACATTGTACTGAACCAGCATATTTCAATTTGGCTTGCAATAGGAAACTATTGCCAAGTGAGTGGACAATAAATGAGAGAACACACTAACCATCTGTTGGATGTCTGCTTCAAAAATGAATCAAACACAACACTAGAATCAGCTGTTAACAGAGGGTAATATGGCAGGAATAAAAAGGAGGCATGACAGAAAAACAATCACATAGTCCCGCAGAGAGAGCCCTTATTATTGACGTAAAGCTGCCCTCATTTGATAATTGACGCTCTTTCACTGATTCAAATCTTCAGTTTTCATTTCAAGGACTTTATTGATCAGAGTGAGTAAAAATCGATTATTCAAGTGGAAAGTCTTTACACACATATTTCCTGAAGACAACAGTGCAGAGTTACAGCACAAGATATAGATTAGTAACCGACTATTATTATTTTGTGTTAGTATATTTTAAAGGTTTCTTTAGCTCCACTTCAACCATGGTTACCCTGCTGTGTCATTTCTGTTGTTTCCCTCTCTCTCCTCTCTCTCCTGAGCCGCTTCACTGTCCTCCCTGTGCCCAGGCTCAGGCTGCAAGATGCGGACGTTGGACAGTGGGATCGGGACCATCCCCCTTCCTGAATCCTGCTCCTTCTTCTCCTCCATCCTGCAACTCCTCCCTAAGTCCGCCTCAAACCCTGGCCAGTCCCTCAGTCCTCCCAGTGTCCCCGGCTCCTCCAGCAAGGATGTGTCTCCTTCCCCTTTACCCCGCTGGAGAATACCCTCCGGTTTTAAGGACAGCAGCCATGCAGGGGGGCCAAACTCCTTCTCCAGCTCCTCCATGACCCATATCCACTCAGTGCCTTTCCCCACTGTGGCCTTCCTCCAGCCCATCCAACCCCAGTCTCAACCCATTGTGACGTGTTCCAGTGTGTGTGATACCCAGAGCAGGCTGCTCAGACCCCCCCCAGGTACAGTAACGTCCCCAGTGTGGACTGCAGGGGTCCAGAGGACGCTTCAAGGGGATTCTCCTACTAGTTTTCTGGAGAAGGGTTATTTTCATAAACAAAATTAGGCAGTGGAAAATATTTTCGTACGGCAACTAAAACTATATTTACATAAATTGAAATGAACATATATACAAAAATAACCATAAACTAAATAACACTAACTAACAAATGCAAAGTAACTTAAACTAAACTAAAATGAATGCAAAACTTGTAAAACGTTCTAATTGTCTAAAGTTGAATGTGAAAAGGTCTCCGAAGGCAAGGAGTAGGATTTTCCTAAAAGAAATGTATACACTTATACAAAAAATAATGCCTCATAATCATTATTGATGAGCTACTACAAGTGTGTGGGGGTCTCTGCAGAGACCCTGCTGCCCCTATGTTGCTGCTTGTGATGTTTCTGGACACCAACCTCGATTAAAAACCAACAACATGATGCTAGATTGTGAGCATCATCAAATCTGCAAATCTGGCAGAAAAAGTACATAAAAAACACAAACATCTCTAGGTGAAACTTTAGTTACTATGATGTCCATAAATTGATGCATTAGTTTTAAAGTGGGGTTTTGCTCAGTGTATATGCTGCTTCTGAAAACACTTTGGAGTTTCCAACAAGGACATATTCAGTGAAAGTTATGCTTGGGTGTTCATTATTCATGTATCCATCAAGGAGATGTTTAAGAGGCATTCTCACGAAATTCATTTCACGAAGATCCACTGCTGTCACGCTTCCTGCTTTAGTTTAACAAGTGTGCCACTTAAAGGAGCATATGTTTATATATATCCACACGTAATAGACTACCGGAAGCAGCATTGATCATTCCAATAGCCCGAGCCTCCACACTGACAGGCCTGCTCATTATGCTTATCACATAGCATGTGCCAACATGTATTTTATGTTTGGTGGTTCAGAGTGGAGGGTTCTCCGCCAAACATAACATATACGCACAGAAAAAAAATGCTTTTATGCCTGTCAAGCTTTCCAGTCTAACACGGTGCATAAGCAGTATTGAAAACAACGCAATCTTTCAGGGTTAGGTTCATCTAATAAGTACGGTGGCCCTGAAGTGCAAGTCAAAACAGCATTTCAGGAAACACCACAGCATTTCAGAAAACGCCACAGCATTTCACAAAACACTACAGCATTTCAGAAAACACTACAGCATTTTAGGAAACACTACAGCATTTCAGAAAACACCACAGCATTTCAGAAAACACCACAGCATTTCAGAAAACACTACAGCATTTCAGAAAACACCACAGCATTTCAACTTTTACGGAAAGGGTATTCCTTTAGGGAGAACACTTCTTGTTTGTGATTGGACAGAGCCAGCCAGAGAAGCACTGCTGTGATTGTTTGTTTTTGCTGCCAGTCAAGAAATGACGCTTCGTGATTGGTCAGCACCCGACAGCGCAACATGTCCCAACACATCAACCGTTAGCTGTTAGCACTCAGAGCTCACAGCTCCTCATATCTATTCAGAAACTGGACAAAAGCTAAACATGAACAAACCACAGACTGTCTGTGTCATGGTGAATACAGTCGCTGCTTTATTTATGTCTGTAGGCCGTTGTTGTGAGTTTGGATGGAGCAGCTACAGGTTAGTTTATCCTGATCGATCCGATCTCCACTTGACATATCAGAGAATAGAGTGTGATTGCTGAGAAAACCTCTGAAGTTAGTTTAATCCTGTGTTTTCCAGGTGGGATGGAACCAAAGAAGTTGACCTATATCAAATCCAAAACCCGAGCCACTTCGAGCCAACAGAAAGAGCAGACAAGACTTCAGCTCGCCAACTGTAAGGCATAATGGAGCAATACCCACACCCACAAAATCCTCTTTTCTATCAATTATTCATTGATTGAAGAAAACTTGCATGCCCTCACAATGAGAGAAAAAACAAACAGCTGAAAGAAAATCCTCAACAAATTGGAACATTAGCAAAACTATATCGAAAAAAAGACTTTGATGATATGATTATCATGAATTAGCTGTGTAAGACATTGTAAACATATGTTTTGATATAGTTTTACTATTGTTAAACCGATCCCTATTTACTTCAATTCATTAATAGACCTGTCTCCATTTCTCGATTCTGTGTTCAATGTGAAGCAGACAAGAAACGTTTATTGGAGAATTCAAAGTCACACGGGTTGAGTAATTGATAAAACAGATGATCATTATGTGGTCAAAGTATTACACATTTGTAAATCAAATAAAACATAACACCTGTTGTATTCTGTGTCCACTCAACCACAGTGCACATTGTCATTCTTTTACTTTACTGTCATGTGTAGAGAAGGTTCATCTTGATTTGATACAAAAATCCCCTCTGAAAGGTGAAGTAACATTCTGTTGCCTTTAGGTATAATCCTTTAATTAAAACCGTTTAACAGATATACACTCTTCCACACTTTAATGTTCCATACCATATAACAACACTTCACAGTATCCATAGTTAGAATCCATATTATATGAAACAGACCTGGTTAACTCACGTGGGAAACTTATGTTGAAAGTGATATAACTTCACATCAACATGCAGGGCAGCAGGTTTCTTCAAATATCATCGCTGCCCACTGCAATCAAATCCCAAGTTGTCTGTTTCTATTTGCATTTAAACCACAGTTGCTTGTGCACTATGATTGGATGATAAATGTTAAATATACCTCCAACAACACTTTAATACTATTGAAATCACTGAAATGTAAGGTGGCCTGCAGTCAGTTGAAAGAGTTGCTGACTATCTTTGAATAAATTGGTTGTCTATGTGCAGGTTCTTGGGATATAAAATGAGGAATTGTATTACAATATGCGATTAAGCCATTTCTGTAGAAATAAACAAAATAATGTTGCATGTTAATAATTTTTGTAATTTGCATGACAGACGTTTATTTGAGATGTTGTTGGCATGGCACCTTGCTGGTGGATCTCACTCTGCTCTACATTTTCCATTTCAGAGTTCACAAAGCTGACTGAGTCTACCTGAAGCAACAAATCAATCGGATTTCTCACTAACACATGGAGGATCCCTGAATCCCAAAGTGTGGACACTGTGTCTCTGTATCAGGATGAAACACTCAGAGCTGCATAACCAGTGAGCTTGGCATCATGGGCTTCCACCTGTGCTCATTGTGGGGCTGAGATACTGAGTAGCATTTCAGGTGTAGTAATGAACCTTCTGGCAGCCATTTTGGAGGTTTGCAGTTCATTGACATCAGCTGTGAGCTGCTGATAGAGTTTCATAATGTACAGCTCTGCTGTGTCACAGGACTGGAGTTAAACAGTCGTGGTTATTTTACCTGACATTTTATTCTCTATTTTTAACTCTAAGAAGTAACATTTTGCAAAAACATCAAAATGCCAGGCTTCTTTTTTTTTGTTAATATGAGTTTAGCTATTGTAGCCTTTTCATAGCTCATCATCATGTAGACCCAGTTTAAGCTAATGTTACCATTAGTATGTTTACAATGCAAACAACATAAGTTGTTAGCTAGCATAGCTTCCTCTGCTAACTGTTCAACCCAGTCTCACGGCATTTCGTGATATAGTCACGACATTTAATCTATTGATTCGTGTTCACCAACCCGGTCGGGCCTTGGAAGACCGGAAGCTGTGGGGTTCATAAAAACATGTTCTTACTCAATATCAAGCCACGATTATTGTTTTTATTTTTAAATCGTATAATGTCGGATTTTGTTTGCTGTCCGTGAAGAAAATAAATGGGGCTCAGAGCCTCAGAATACTGAAATCTGTATGTTGTTGGTGAACACGAATCAATAGATTAAATGTCGTGACTATATCACGAAATGCCGTCAGACTGGGTTGAACTGTTGGTGGTTTCTGCCACAATGCTGAAGGACCGGACAAACTTAACCACTAAACTTAGACAACACACACATTACTGCAAACTGTTATATCTGCTTCTCTAGTGTGGTGGTGAAAACTGTACCTATAATAACAATTGTACAATAGTTACCATATGTGTACAATCATTTGACCGACTTACATGCTTTCAATACAGCACACACTTAAAGGGGACCTATCATGCAAAATGCATTTTGTACGTCTTTTATACATGAATATGTGTCCCCGGTGTGCCAGGGTACTCACCAAGTGTCAGAAAACACAACCCTCTCTCTTTTCCTCCATACCCAAATCTCTAAAAACGGGGCTGCAACGGAGCTGATACAGATTTGAAATTGTTCTGACGTCAGAAACAGGGAGCTCCGCCTATATGGGCAACTCTCCACCTATCAGGGGAATGGGGGTTTTTTTGCCGCTCGAAAGCGCTGGAGACGCTGTAGTACATATGCCAGGCCTGTAAGTGGCGCTGTAGTCTGACACAAAAGCAGCGAAGAAGACTTCTCACAGAATCAGCCCTTGCAAAAACAGGGCTGGAAAAGAGCAAATAGAGCGAAATGAGGCATGGCTAAAATGCATGATCTGTTTGGTATTTTGAAAAAAAAACTTCACAGACATGTTTTATATAGGTATGGCCCTACAATATATTATTCAAATATAGCATGATAGGTCCACTTTAACTGCCAAAAGTAACACAATGATAATTTTACCATTTTGTGAACCTGATTAGTTGCTCCAGTGAGGAAGGAGTTAAACATCTGGCAGCGCCGTGTATTCATCAAGTTTGGCCCAAAGAAGACAGAGCAAATACTAAGCCTAAACATCGCTGCAGCTTCACAGCTAACATTTTAGCAAATAATGACCCACTTATGTATCCAGCAGACAAGAAAATCCTATTTCAACTAGTTTTAGCAAATGTACACATCCAATAGAGTCTTTATCCTGCTTGCTGTTTTGAACACATTTGGATGGCTTTATCTTACTTTGCATCTGTACAGCCAAAACAAAGAGCTAGGAGATGATGATAATATGAAGCTTAATTTGATTTCACATTTGTTTACTCTGTAAATAATTGGTAAATTCAGGCTTAAAATTGAAAACATTTTCACAAGTGCAAGAAATTCACCACCAGACCTCCATGTTGGCACCAGCTCTGCTCACTTTGGAGAATAATAATGGAAATGAAAGACCTGCACCAAAATCCTGCTCAACAAAGATGAATCATCATATTCATTCTCCAGCCAATCACAGTCAATGTGAAGATCTAATCCTGCTTCACATCTTATGAATACCTAAAGCTACTAAAAACTCACACATATTTCACTCATCTTTTTTTCATGGAACCCGATAAACTCAACAAACTATGGTTTCCATCCTGAAGACCCTATATGTACAGCACTAACTACTGATTGCCATTCATGAGCTCTTAACCTGATTTAGCAATGTGAATCTTTAAAGTGTGCACTATCTGGTTGGAAACTTTTTTTATTGTCACAATGTTAATATCAACTTGCATGCAACCACCCTCTGGACTTATTCTAACCACAGATATCCATTTTATAGAGAGTTTCATCACAAGAGGTTTAACTTGGTGTCCACTATTTTTTTTTACCCACATTGAAATCTCTCGTAACAAAAGCAACGGTCTTCTACACTGAGTCTGATACGGAGGCCCTGAGAGGAAAGAGAGAAAGAAATAATTCTGTTAATCCATTTTATAAGTCTTATCTAATTGGTTGTCGCTTCTGTGCTTATGACTGAAGAACATTTGACAATACAAGGGTTTGTGAAGATAATCTTTCTTTATGCCAGGATTTTATTCTCCATCTGTAGAAGAGGTGTGGGGAAAGGGTTTTGCGTGGAGTTTTTCTAAATTACCTTTATTTCAGCTTTGAAAACATTTGGGAAAAATGTTTGCATGTGAAAGTAAGTTATTGCTTCTTGTTGAAATATTAATGAATTATGGTTATTAATGTATCCCAATAACAATCGGAAATAAAAGATTTCCAACTTAGATAGATTATACTGGCAAAATAGTTCACGTAAACAAAGGAGGAACAACATTATAGATCAGTCTTAGAAATATGATCAGCAGGATTCGTTTTCCTCTCATGGCTTCGTGGTCTGACTATCGAGTCTCAAATGACGTTATACAGGTTTGACACTCTGAAAAGAGTGCACATCACATCTTGTAATGAAACTCTTCAAATGTAAACTGCGTTCTGTATTTTGTACACGTTTCCACAGTTATGACATCAGGACAGTGAGTTGTGCATGTTACCTTAGTTAGAAAGCACCCGGTAGGCCCATTGTTGTGCTAGCTCAGGGAAAGTACTATTTATTGTCTCTGATAGATGCTGTGGATTTATTAAGTAAACCTCAACTTTAACATGTTCAGTCATTTTACTGCAGCCAGTGGACACACCACATTTCACTGTAATGCTTTAAAGATATGAATATTTTCCTCTTGTCTGTTTTTGTCTGTACATTTAACCATATAATATCTCACCAGTTTCTCTCTATTATGTATGCCGTGTCTTTTACTGTAATGTTATTGGTGTTTTGAATGCATCCCGACATATTCGACAGTTTTAGCTGCTTTGCGATGTTTCCCCTCACACCTTCATCAGCTCCTTGCATTTTCATGCATAGATGTTTGCCAAAATGCATATTGCCAAAATCTGCTCTGAGCTAATCACATATACAGAATAATAAATGCAACTGAATCTACATATCAGACTCGTCATGGTGACTATAGCCATAATCTTTTGAAACACTGGAGACAGTTTACACTTGATGTAGAACTATGGAGCACTGTAAGGTTGCACAATATCATTAGTCATGTCATCTTACTCTATTTACCTCTTAAACCTTTACTCACTTGCTACATGTCAATGTTGAAGGTGATGTTTGTTGAGTTAAATGAAATATGTAGCGTACACAGGTGAGACGATGCGTTTATGGATCAGGGATTGGCTGTACTGATACGGGTAGATGGAGCATGGTGTCTGTGTTTCTAAAAAGGCTCACATAATAAAGAGCCTCACCCTCACAAGAGTATTGTATTTTTCTAACATTTACTCTCAAGCTCAGTATTTGTATTCAGCACCAATGAGTGTAATTTACCATTTATTGCACATATTGTTACTCACTATGACAGGTATTCTCCCTCTAAATGTTTTTCTTTCAGAACCCAATAATAACAGTGATGTTTTTGTGTGATAGTCACCTTAGCAGTACCAATTGAGAATTGTATATTACTGATATTCTTTGTTTTATGTAAAAGATTAAATAAAAAAATTAACTATTTCAATACTTACATTAAAGATGCTGACTTGTGTTTGACTGAATTCAGATGGCTGTAGATACTCAGGGGTTTATGTTAGCAGGAGACAGTATGAATGATGGAAGAGCTCCAGATCCCTGGCTCCACTTGCATTCCAATCTTTGTGACAATAACAAATGGGGTTTTTTTCCCAATACAAAATGTAAGTAAACTGTTAGCAGAATACCAAACAACATATCTGGGGCAGTGGATCACATTCTCTCAAACTGGAAATACTCCGGCTGGGCTTCTAGCAGTGTTGTCAGATACTGTACAACATATTAAAAAAAAAATCTTAAAAAACAAGAATGAAGAATTAAGAATGCATCTTTTGAAAATGGACATCAATGTATTTCATCAACTGGTGTGAGGTTGATAGAATGAAGGACAATCGTTATGGAGTGTGGAGTGTGTATATGAACACACTCAGTCACTGGGGGGCTGCCCTCCTGTCCGGAGGTCCTGATAGTTAAAGAACATTTTACTAACTATTGGCCTGAAAGCTCATAGTCTGAGTTTTGGTCTTCCCAACACCAAGACATTTTGCCATTGTAAAATAGATGCATATAGACAGAATTCATACGAGACATTCTTGGAAGAAAAAAAGCTGGAAGCCAAAGGATCATTTCTCCTTATCTGGCTATGTACAAATATTTTGAGCATTTTAGGTCTTGGGCTATCTGGTCCAGTCCAACCTCAAAACTCTCTTACATGTGAAGCCCAGCAGCTGCTGTGACATGCTCACCTGGACGGGGACTGACCTTTGACCCTTTGTTCTGAAGGCCCTTTATTCTGAAATCTTCATTTTAAAGGCAAAGTTTCTGTTGAAACTGCAAAAAAAGGAGGATCATTTTAATTTTGATCTTATATTTTGTGGTTATGACTGATAATGGGGCACGATCTAGGTCTAAAATAAGCTGAAAGAATGTTCACTTTTTGTTCTACAACATTACATACGACAGTAATATCCCACTGAGTGTCTGAAGCTCCTATGTTTCATAATTAAAATGGCGGTGCTGACAAATTACGAGATAAGACTACTGAACGTCATCACGCAGAACATCAGCAACCATGCAACTGTGATGTACTTTGTTGACAGCCTAATGTTAGAGATAACATCAAGATTGATGTTAAATGTGTATAAACATGTGTTTGCCAGAGATCTTATTTCCTGCAATAATCCAAAATAGATTTTTGTTTAAAAACCCATTGCTTTTTGCTGAAGGTTTTCTGCATGCTAACTTCCAGGTCAACCTAAAAAAGCATGTCACCGCTATAACAATAGGATTTGAAAATCCCCAGTAGGAAATCATGCCCTTGTCCTTGACAACAAATACATGTTTAAGTATGTTCTTAACAACAAATGATGATAAACCGTTCTGAGGGTATCAAGGTTCCTGTAACCTTGTGCAGTTTGAGTTGTCAGGGAAAATGTGTTAAGTCCTGGACTCGTACTGTCTTTGAGTTCATAACTTCATTCAATTTATAGACACTCATTTAATAATGAGGAATGCATTATGATCCTTTCCCAAAGACAGAACAAGTGTATTCTACTTATTTATTGAGTACATTAGGTTCAAAAAGCTTTACTTCCACTTTTAAGATGTAGGACACATTGTCATCCCGTATTAGTGTTGCTCCAAACAGCTCTGTGCATAATGCCTCTCAGGGTGCCATCACTCATGTTATGACACTGAAGCTACCGAAGAGAGGAACTGAACATTTAAACGTTCCTGAATGCAGTGTTGTTCTCTCTGACCAAGAGTGTATTTAATTCTAATGAATAAAAACAATAGAAAATAAAACTGGCCAATTAGAAAACTTTAACCAGTCTTTTGGATCCTTTTTTTCCCACAATACTGGACCATATTTGAATCTGACAGCCTCACTAGCTGCCCGTTGTGTCTTTTACTCTCATACCAGCAGGGTTTCACTTTAATTGTCTGCCTGGACATCTTACTCAGAGCAGAATATGTCCTGTTTGATGGTGTGAATCTTCTCATTGCCTAAACTTTGATGTAAATGGAATTTGGCTAATTTAAAGTTTGAGGAAAGTCTGGATTTAAAACATTGAAGTGTGTCTTAAAGGGGGGGGGGGGGGGGGGGGGGGGGTATACACTATAAATGATATGGTGTCAGGCTCAGCGTTGAGGAGCACAGTCATGAGCATGTTTCAGCCAGGTTTCCGTCCTATATCTGATATGACTCCACGCTGACCAGCACTGAAGGGACTAATCCATCTTTTGAATTTGTGAAAGAGTTCAAGCGTTTATTTAACTGCAAGTGCTGCAGACAGTGTTATTAGTTTTGAAAAGTGCCTCACTTCACGGAGCCTTTTCGCAGTGCTTTTAGCTGCAGATGTGTGTGCCTTTCTGTTTACCTCAGACTTATGATGCATTTCACTGCCTGCAATATTATCCTCAGGCTTGCTGTATTATTTGTTCATGAAAGGCAGCCTTTGGTTAAATCCTCCTGTTAGTTCCAATTAAGACCAGAGGACTATAAAACCTAAAGTTAACTCTTTACTATCAGAAACATCATGTGTGCTTTGTTTGAAAGCTCCATGCAGTTCGGATGTGTTTCCTTTGGACACACAGTAACTCTGCTCCCTGTCCCTGCTCTCCAGCCACATTCCTGATTCCCCAGAACCATTCATTGCTATGTTCCATCCAGCCAACAGAAGTCCTCGGACATTTTTAAGTCAATAAAATAAAACATTTCGAGTCGTTAGTCTGTTTAGTATGTGGCAAAAGCGGGATAATATGCAGCGAGCCGTCATTATTGAAAAAAGAACACCCTTCAGGCTGATCAGCATCCCTCCTCTTCGCTCCATGATCACCCTGTCTGCTGTTCTTTTTTCAATAATGACGCCTCGCTGCACATTATCCCTTACGTAGTCAGCTGCTAATCCCTCCATGTCATGTTGTAGTTGCTTTGTGCTTTGTACCTTTGCTTTCTCCTCGGTATTCTGCGTTAAAACGCTGCCTAATTGATCAGGAAACAGAATACACACATTGTCCATCTGTTCGAGTTAAACTCCAGGTCAGAGAAGGGACATCACTGCCAGTCTCCTGTACTCAAGTCCAACTCTACATTCCTTCTTTTCTGCCCTGCTACATAAATAACAAATGACTTCTTGCATCAAAGTCTGAATAAGTTAGCGGCAGAATTGTTTTTGTATGAAGGTAATTCCTATGCATACTGGGCTTGATGGAAAGGAGGATGCTGGAGATATTCTATATTTGTCATACTTATGACACCCAAACAAAGAATTTGGTCTGGGGATTTTCTGAAAAACAATATAGCATCACACCAGCCTTATCATTTAAAGTGGTGTTGGTGTGCTCAGTGGAAAACAGACGCATTGTTTCATTGGGTTTATCTAGTCAAATAAAGTTAGACTGGCTAAAACATTCATTGTTCTTCAGACGAGGCTGTGGTCACTGATGTATATATTGTATTATCATATGTTTTTATAGCTTACAACATAATTGTTCTGATCTTAACTTCATGTCACATAAGTATTATCGTCATAATTACTCCTGCCAGTTATGTTTCTGGTGTAACACCCGTATGTTTACAAGACCTTAAAAGCTGCTTTATGTTGCCTGGCTCATACCTCTTGATTCTTACAATCAATGTCAACTTTCACTCTAAGAAGAAAAAGTAAAGTGGGTATATGTTATGAGGATTTAAGCATGATCATGGTTATGATGCAGCCCTGACAAAACTCAGGGACTTTGGGGGTGAAAACAATGAATCTCAGTTTATAGTCTAATTCCTGGAAAACGATAAGCTATAAATACAACAAATCAAGCTTCTGGAGTGATGTGATTTAGTGGGGACAGCTGGATCAAAGTGACTCGGACACTCCCCCGCCTGTTAGCATCTTTATGACTCTGCACAAGACTTTAATGATCCCATTGGGGAAATCAGTCCGGTGCTCCAGCCGCACATGGAATGGGATTCCTGATACAAAGAGCGCACAGTAATAATAACTATAAGGGCCCCTCGGAGAGGCAGACCTTATATCACAACCGAAATGTGATGAGTTGTTCTTTGGCCAACTCTACAACCTTCCACCAAGTTTAATTAAATCTGAACAATCCTGCTGACGATCAACAACCCAAACCCAGGCTGCTTGGTGGGGGTTATACTGATTTGAATAAAACATATCGGAGGTCCCTCAGTACCAGCATCGCTGTCAAAACAGTCACTTTGGTCACGTGGTACAAAATACAGTCGTGCACGTGCGTCGGAGGCAGGGCCGGCAAACTAGCCGGTCGCCTAGGGCGCCAGATCTGGAGGGGCTGGGAGAAAATAAAAAAAATAAAATTATTCTGCCTAATTTTCTGCCCTTGATGTAATACATTTACATTAATAATTGAATAAAGTAAACACCCTTTGCACCCCGGGCCGGCAACATTTTGCATTTGCCCTGTACGATGGGCGCTGTAAGTGATGAAAGTGGGGGATGTTGACTTATCAGGCGCCCGCAGCTCACAGCCAAAGTGCGAGCGAGCCTCCGAGCGAGAAAGAGAGAGAGAGAGAGAGGGCGCGCATGCATCGGTACCGCGGATTGTTGTTGGATTGAGGCTGATAACTACAGCTCAGTGAGGTAAAGGACTCTGAGGGTTTAGATAGTTCACTTTAGTCTAAGTTATCTCAGTGGGTCTCAAATGGTTTGGTCATAATTTATGTAAACACATATTTCCAAGGCACACCTTTATAATTATTAGGATAAATAAAAACAGGTTTGAAATCATTTCAATGCATACTGGACAGTAACCTAAAATATCGTTTAAAACTGGAGATATTAAAAAATATGCATGAATAATAAATGTTAAATAAAACTAGATCAAATAAGATATGAATGAACAACAAAAAATAAAATACTTTACATTTATTTGTTATTGGCTATGGGTTATTAATTAATTAATTAAGTTTCTAGATCAGGTCTCTAGTAATTCTGCTCAAAGTGCACCAGATTGAAGCATTTTACTTTAAAATGTTAAAAAACATATTTTCGGGGGGGCATACCCCCGGACCCCCCGAGAGGATGTGACGTCCACCCGCCAATTAAAACATGTTCATACAATAATGAATACATTGGAAACCTTCTTTATGTAAATAACCAACATGTCAATACGTTTCAGTTTTTGTAGTGTATTGGTCTTTTGTAGAGATTTTTAATTTATTCTTTATATATTCTATTGTGTATTGCTTGGAGGGGCGGGGGGGGGGGGGGGGGGGGGGACCACATCATAATCTCGCCTAGGGCACCAAAATGTCTAGGGCCGGCCCTGGTCGGAGGTGTAGAGAGGTGCTGCCTGGCAGGAGGTAGAGGAGGATGGTGCCCGCATCAGGCTGTGCGGCGCTCCGTCTCTGCGCCCAGAACCGGCGCACTCCGCCTCTCATGGTCCTGCTCCCGGGGACATCAGCGCACCATGCGGCTGCTCGGCGTCTTCACTCTGCTGCTGCTCTCCCTCAACTCAGGTATGGACGCTTCTCTTTATCAACACGTCACAGGATTACATATCTATTATACGGGGAAGCTTGTAATTTGAAGTATTGATTTCCACACATTTACTTTTGACAACAATAAGAGATATCATCTCGCTGTGGTGCACGCCGCGGTGCGTCGAAAACCATCCAGGGTTAAGTTTTCATAAAATAACTGCTGATCAACAATTTGGAAAGCGGAGGAACTCCACTTTAAACCGTGACATGTGTCCCTGAATTTGACCCTGTTCTTCATCACAAGAATGGTCCGCAGATATCATTGTGTCAGAGAGCTGGTTTCTCTGTCTCTGATGGCAGTTATCTTATCAGCAGGGAAGACAATCCTTTGGCTGAGTAACAGTAACAATCCAACCATTTTAAACAAGTCAATTACTGTAGTATTATATTCTGTAATGTGGAGAGGATGTGTAAAGAAAGAAATAATGAACATATTCATTAAAGAAAGGGTATCTTACAACTGTCCTTATTTAAATGTAATTTTATCCACCTCTGAAAAATATGTATTATTACTGAATCTAGATTCGCATAGGTTTTATGTTTACTGCCGGATGTTAAATGTATTGAAAGGCAAAGTTTAACTGTTGTTGACTAACGGTAAAATATTATGTTTTTAGACTTTTTAGATAGTTAATTCACTGGCCCTTTTCAATGCCAGCAGCGTGTTTAAATCAAACAAATTATTCACATTTCTGACAAATGATGTGGTTGAAGGAGTCCCTCTTAGTAAAGGTGGACTATTGGACCTGGTGATGCTGAACACAAATCACTGTTCCACCGTGTCTGCTGTATTTTACAATGCTACATTAAAGGACAAAAGTGTTAATGCAGATGAAAATACTGAAAGGTGAAAGAGGGCGGTCAGTGCATCAATGACTTCAAGACATTCCTAATGGTTAATTAAAAACTGTTTATCATTCAGAATAAATTAGTGTTTGAAGGACACACAATAATGCCAGTTTGCTGACACATGCATGACTAACATACAGGGGTGGGCATCGAACCTCTCTACATCCGATTGGACGGTGCCCACTTACAGCCCCCCCACCAGCCGCCCTCCTTTCTTTAACAATGATTATTTTATATTATTAGACTTTTTATATTCCTTCTTATTTTCCTTGCGTAGCTTATGTTGCATATCCGCTGAATCTTGGTGGGGGGGATAGAAATAGTGAAATATCCAGCATGAAAGCAAGACTTGATAAAATAACAAATAAATGTTCCGTCAGTAACTCAAACGCAGCTGAATAATTGAGCTGCATGTCTGTCACATCCATTTGGTACGGTCAGAGTGCAAGCAACCACAAGTCTGAATATTCACCAAAATGAAACTAAGAGATGAAACTCTCATTATTCAAGATGCGAGAGAAAATAGATGTAGTATGCAAATGAACGTGTGGTTTCAAGGTTTCAAGGCTTTTATTGTCATGTGTGCATATAGCTACGGTGTAGAGATGACAATGAAAATCTGAGGTCCCAGGCTCCTACAACAGTGCAACACAATAAAACAGATAAAATAGTACAAGTAAATAAAAGAAAATAGAATATAATAGAAACAGAATATGATAGAAACTGTGCAGAATAGTCTATATACAGTAATTGGAATATCGGTATATATGATATATTATGTGAGTTGCAAACAGATGAATGTTATGGATGTTCTTTCAAAAGTTCAGGTGTTTAATAGTCTTATGGCCTGTGGGATGAAGCTGTCCCTGAGTCTGGTGGTTTTATTCCTGATGCTGCGGTACCGCCTGCCAGACGGCAGCAGACAGAACAGTTTGTGGCTGGGGTGATGGGGGTCTTTTGTAATCCTGAGAGCTTTCTTCCTGAGCCGCTGGGAATAAAGGTCCTCCATGGAGGGCAGCTCCGTCCTGGTGATGTTCTGTGCAGTTTCCACCAGCCTCTGTAAAGCCTTACGATTGAGGGTGGTGCAGCTGCCGTACCAGGCCGTGATGCAGCCAGTCAGGATGCTCTCTATGGTGCACCTGTAGAAGGTCAGGATACTCTCTATGGTGCACCTGTAGAAGGTCAGGATACTCTCTATGGTGCACCTGTAGAAGGTCAGGATACTCTCTATGGTGCACCTGTAGAAGGTCAGGATGCTCTCTATGGTGCACCTGTAGAAGGTCAGGATCCTCTCTATGGTGCACCTGTAGAAGGTCAGGATGCTGTCTATGGTGCACCTGTAGAAGGTCAGGATCCTCTCTATGGTGCACCTGTAGAAGGTCAGGATCCTCTCTATGGTGCACCTGTAGAAGGTCAGGATGCTCTCTATGGTGCACCTGTAGAAGGTCAGGATACTCTCTATGGTGCACCTGTAGAAGGTCAGGATGCTCTCTATGGTGCACCTGTAGAAGGTCAGGATGCTCTCTATGGTGCACCTGTAGAAGGTCAGGATGCTCTCTATGGTGCACCTGTAGAAGGTCAGGATGCTCTCTATGGTGCACCTGTAGAAGGTCAGGATGCTCTCTATGGTGCACCTGTAGAAGGTCAGGATGCTCTCTATGGTGCACCTGTAGAAGGTCAGGATGCTCTCTATGGTACACCTGTAGAAGGTCAGGATCCTCTCTATGGTGCACCTGTAGAAGGTCAGGATGCTCTCTATAGTGCACCTGTAGAAGGTCAGGATGCTCTCTATGGTGCACCTGTAGAAGGTCAGGATGCTCTCTATGGTACACCTGTAGAAGGTCAGGATGCTCTCTATGGTGCACCTGTAGAAGGTCAGGATGCTCTCTATGGTGCACCTGTAGAAGGTCAGGATGCTCTCTATGGTGCACCTGTAGAAGGTCAGGATGCTCTCTATGGTACACCTGTAGAAGTGGCAGAGTATCCTGGAGTCCATGTTGAACCTCCTCAGCCTGTGGAAGAAGAAGAGCCGCTGTCGAGCTGTTTTGGTGATGGTGTTAGTATGATGAGTCCATGTCAGGTCCTCAGTGATGGTGGACGCTAATTTACCTGCTGAAAATGACATCATGAAAATACTTATTATTGAGTGTGGTGTGTGTGTGTGTGTGTGTGGTGGTGTGTGTGTGTGTGTGTGTGTGTGTGTGTGTGTGTGTGTGTGTGTGTGTGTGTGTGTGTGTGTGTGTGTGTGTGTGTGTGTGTGTGTGTGTGTGTGTTGCAGGGCTGGCTCTGCAGATCCAGTGCTACCAGTGTGAGGAGACCACCCTGGACTGCTCCACCCCCCCGTTCATCGCCAACTGCACCGTCAACGTGCAGGACATGTGCCAGAAGGAGGTTCTGGTGAAGGCTGATGGTAAAGCTTGTTCCTCCTGTCTGCCTTCATACGTGTGTTTTCATCTCTATTTTCCTGTCAGGGTTTCTCAGACCAGAACAGACTCCAGTAAATCTGGACTGATTGGCCTCAATTTAAGAAAAGCGGATTAGGTTATGGTGGCGATATGGATCTGGCAGTTCAACCCTGACTGTAGAGACTTGACTTAGAATCTGAATCTTTGTTTATGTTTGTCATGAAATCAATTAAGCTTAAAACTTTGTTGAACTTTTGAGTGTTGTTGGTGATCCTGTTGGTTTGCTTGTTTTGTGCAGACGTAGCCTCAGGGTGCACTGTGCCCGCTCAGACTCCATACTTTCTGAATCAATAGAATCATGTTGTTCGGAAAATAAAAACGTTTTGTAATGACGTTGAGGAAACAGTGTGTTTGAAGTACCTTTTACACAGAGATGAGAGCTCTCCAGCATATGGAGCCAGAAGCTAGGCTCTCTCACACTGATCTGAGGTCAGCACGGACAGACCATCAGTATCATTATAGGATGAAAGTCTCAGCTGCAGGTCAGTTTATGATATAGCAGTCATGGATAAAACTGTTCCATTTCCATCTGTGGAGAAAAGCTGTGCATGCAAGGGCAGGTGTGTGTTCTCTGAGTGTGTGCAGGGTGTACACACACAGATCTTATAAAGCTGATACCAGCAGATAGACCAGCATCAATGTACTCTCCAATAATCAATATAATACAATGCAATAATCATTGGGAACAGTGTCCCTACTACCAGGCAGCCACCACAGCGTTAGGTTAGGTCTTTCTGTTTTTTAATTGAATTATGGAATTTTAGTAACACGGGTGAATAATATTACAGTTTTATGTTATCTATCTTAATCCACGGGCTTTCTTTAACAGGCTGGCGCCTGCATGTTTGGCCAGATTATACAGAAATCTGCACTTGTTTATATGCATCTCATCACAATGTTTAATGTGAAAGGGGTCACTTGTGACACACCCACAAATAATTCCATGCATTTAGCTTTTTTCAGCTAATTTGAATCTTCACTGTCCACTGTCATCACTTTAACCTAATTTCAAGCCGCAGGCAATATTAGCACAAATTAACCTCTTAAACCATGTGGGCCAGTAACCCTGACTTTATCATTTTTAAGTATGCAGTTTGTTTATTAGACATCAAAGTGGCAGAAAGTCTGCGCCGCGGCGTTCACAGCGATCGCGGCCACTCTAGTCAATGGGTGCTATTCCACCAGACGCGCCGCGTTACGGCTAGAAGCGTCCCAGAAGCATCCCAGAAGCGTCCCAGCAGCGTCCCAGAAGCGTCCCAGCAGCGTCCCAGAAGCCGGTGTCAGTAGTACTGACACCGGCTCGCAGTTTTTGTTGATTTGGGCATATTTCCTGGACAGGCTACTTTGTACAGACAAAGTTAATAATAACTGTAATATTCCAGTTATAAACGACATGAATCAAAGATGTGTTGCTGTATTTTAGTGGTAAAAAAAATGGTAATTATTCTATATATATAATTTACACAGTGCCTGTAAACCGGAGGAGAACGCTGGCATTTCTCCTCCTACTTGAAAGACTACGGAGGGATAGGGTCTGCAAAATTAGTTTGTGTGTGTGTATATATATAGGTCTATATAGCTCTGAACGTTCCACTTCCTGCCTGCCCGACCTTACGTTACGGCTGCGCCGCGACAAAAATAGGATTCGATCCTAATTTTAGAAAAGCCCTGCGCCGAGCCGCTTCTGGGACGCTTCTGAGCCGTAACGCGCCGCGTGTGGTGGAATAGCACCCATTGACTAGAGTGGCCGCGATCACCTTGAGCACCGCGGCGCAGCCGTAACGCGTCCGTAACGCGTCCGTAACGCGTCCGTAACGCGTCCGTAACGCGTCCGTAACGCGCCGCAGACGGACCCGGTGGAATCTAGGGGTAACTCTTCACATTCGGCTATAGAGCCAGGGGAACGATTGTTCATATCAACAATAATGTTTGGTGCAACTTTTAGTTAAGCTGGAAGATCTTTCAAATGTTGTTCACAGCAGCAGATTGACGAGGTACAGTTGCTAGCTCTGTTGCATGTGACAACATCAAATTAAGCATTATCCCAGAATTGTATTGTAAGAAATACAATGAAAACCAAACAGAAACACAGTTACTTTAACAAATTCCTTGAGCCTAGGCACACTACTTCTTTGAGGATCAATGACAGCCAGGGGCGGATCTACCGGGGTGGCATGGGGTGGCAATTGCCACCCTAAAAATAGCCTTGCCACCCCAGCTGCCACCCCAGTTGGCAGCTTTGTTTTGAAATAAAAGTTGTGGCTCATCTGACATTTATGAGAGAAAATCTCTAATGTCTGAGTGCAAGTGAATGCAGCACAAGACGCAAGCCTTGTAACCCCTCCCCCGGCCCTGGCGCGAGCGTAGAAATGTGATTGGCGGCGATTTCATTTGAACGGGACGCCGCAAAACGAGAAGCATTCGGACCCAGGCAAGCAGACGGAAGGAATGAGGTATTTGCGGTCTACAATGACAGAGAAGAGACTGTCAAGTTTGGCTGTACTCAGCATTGAATCAAAACGCACTAAAGCTTTGGATCTTAATACGTTTGTGCTGAACAACATGGTAATCGCTGCATTCAGCTGTAATAGGCATGCCAACTTGATGCTCTGCTCACGGATGACTCGATGAGCATAAACTGTTAAGATGATGACCTTACGTGTGTAAATATATTTTTTTCTTTGTGGGGGTCTGCCCCCAAAAAACAGTTTTAAGTCCTGAGAAAGTCAAATAACACTGCCCAGCCAAAAAAAAGTAACCACTTTTCACAGTAAAACTGAAAAATCCTCACAATATCCACAGAGCCAGCACACTATGTGAAGCAGCGATGACAAGAGAATAGACGTAATAATTCCACATGGATTACAGGGCATCTGAAAATAGACCAATAGTGGTTGTTGTGTCTCACTGTGCATGGAAATTGTTCAGGTAATGCTGATAAAGTTAATAAAACAATGTCATTATATTGATTTTTTCAGAAATAAGTGAACGGCGTCTTTAGATAAGTTGTTTGGGCACCGTGCTGTGTTACTGTGTTTTGATGACACTGGTTCTCAGATAAAAAAGGAAAACTGAATATGATTTGATTGCTTACACCAGTGCTTCTCAAACTTATTTCAGTAATGTACCCCCTTTGAAACATTTTCTCAGCCAAGTACCCCCTGACCGACCCCGAAAATGTTTGATAGAAAAAGCCTATATAAATAATTACAATATAGTGATGTTCCATCACTCCTTCATGCATTGTACAAACAGAGAAGAACCAGTTAAGCACCAGAAAAGCACAAGAATGGATCTTGAACCCTTGGTGGTTCTAGGAATATTTTATATAAAACTGTGTTTTCTATTTAACTTATTGTACTATAATTATTTTTGTAATCATGCATGATATTTCTTTTATTAACCTTTTTTTTTTTTTATCTCACGTACCCCCTGCAGTACCCCAACGTACCCCTAGGGGTCCGCGTACCCCCATTTGAGAATCACTGGCTTACACGATGGAGGCTGCCAACAAAAGTATCCAGTATAGGTTAAAGCAAATCATTGTAAACTGCTGTGACCAACCACATTCTCATTTCCCTTTTCCTGATACAGTAAATTAACTTTTGTGAATTGCAAAAGCTAATTTAGATAGGCCATGGAATCAGGGGGACACGTCTCCATCCCGCTCTCTGCTCTCTGTCTAACATGAAGACAGTCTCACACCAGCTGGGATAAAGACCTGTCACATGATGTGAAGTGACTGTGCATCATTCTGCTGTTGGCATATTTAAACGTCTGAAAGCTTGGGACAGCTGCCTGAGGCTGTGAGGCCAGTCTGAGAGACCCAGAGGAGGTTTCAGAGTCACATCATGGACCTCAAACCGCACGTGTTGGACGGTTGAAACGCCCCCTTTTCTGCTCCCATTTATCTTAGACGTCCTCATAAATGTCCTTCTTGATGTCAGACATAGAACCAGTACCCTTGAAACAGCATGGTGCCACAACAACTTTGAGACGAGACGCATTACGAGAAATGTTTCTTTTTTGGCAATCCGTTGAATAGCTGTTAAGATATTTCAGTCTGGACCAAACTGGTTTTGCCAGTTCCATCCCTAACGTGGCGTAAAATGCAATGACTCATTTTCAGAATTTTGTACCAGTTCGAATTTGACATAATTTTTACATTCAAGGCTTCTACTGAAGTTTTTTAGATTACGTTTTAAATGTCTGTGGCCATATTTTAATGAAGGGGCTGCTGAAGTGTGTCTGATGATGTGATTGGGCTGTGCTCATGTACAGGAGGGTGTCAGTACTCAGTGTTTGCTCTGGATTCTTTTGGGTTTCCAGAATCATAGCTTTCTTTACTAATTATTTGTGTAGTAAGTTCAGTGTGCTGGCCACACCCAGCTTAAAATACTTTTGGTATGACATGATGTTCAGTTAATTTGGAGTTAATCTTGACGGAATCCAGGCTTTTATCACCAAACTTACCAGCTATTAATTTTATTGTACTCAACTGACCATTTATCAGGAGGGCATCTTTATGTTGGCTCATATAACAACTGCCTTCTAATTTTACAGTATAGTCACGGTTGATTTAGACAGATAATAAATAAGCCCACAGAGCAGATGATACATGTCTCACATCTTTGTGTCTAGAGCAGTCACTGTTTCACACAGATGCTTTATCAAAGCAAGAAACAGAAGAACTGTGCTGAACAAATTATGTGTTCATATTCATTCCTAATATAACTAGCTATACGGAACTATAAGGAGCCAAATGTTTGTCTTGACACTGTTCTGTGCCTTTTCTCTAAACCAAAAGAGCACAACAGGGGCAGAAATGATTCAATTTTTTTGTTAAATTGTCATTAAGCTGAGCAATCAAAGGTTCTCCTGACTCTTGGACATATTGGATTGCTCTCTTCCCTGGTCAGCCAACCGTACTGATTCTCATTAGACT